CCCTTGAGAAACAAGTGGAATAAGGGTGTCTGAAGATTGGCTCTGAGAGGTCGCCATGGTTTGCTACACATGTTTTACAACTAGCTACAGGCAAAGGCACCCTTTGAGTCTTTCAGTCTTCTCTTGAAATCACTCAGTCGTTAATTCCTAGAGCAAACGCTGCTTCAGGGCCCAGCCCAATCCTACAGGGGGTGGACTTCAGTGTTAACTCTAAGAAATATTGAGCTACTGCCGAAAGCTGTGGAAGCAATTTAATAGCACTTCTGGGGCTCTTTTAAACTAATAGTCAAGAGCTTGGGGCTAGCAGAACATTGTATATAGCTGGAGGTGTTTATCTTTTAGAGGAGACTTCAAAGAAACTGCTCACTCAAATTCTGCTGTCACTTTTAGAAAAGTTTGATACTTCATTCCCTGGGCATCAAGTAGTGTGACTGTGAAAACTGAAATTATCCGTTGGGACCAGCTGTCTCTAGATGAGTGTGCTAGATTGTACTGCCCACAGAGTGCCCAGATTTCATGTGGGATGAATCATGACTTGAGAGAAGTGCTTCAAGAGAATGTAAAGGCTTCAGTAACATATAAAATGAAAATTAAATCATTTTAGGGTAATATCGGTAGAAGTTTTTGGTTTGGTTTTAACTAGGAGCATTTGAGTACCTGATATGTGCCAGGTACTGTCTTTGGTATTTAAATTAAGTCTTTTACTCTTAACCACAGCCTTATGACACAGGTTTTGTCATTATCCTCATTTATAGATTAGGCAACTACAGCACAGAGAAGTTCAGTAATTTTCCCAGGGTCACATAGCTGGAGCTTTCTGCATCAGTTTCCTTCAATTTTTCCTCAGTTTTTACAATTGAAATAATAGTAGTACCTACCTCTTATACTTTGGATTGGGTTTTTTGGTCAATTAATGGTGATAAATTCATAATGATCTACACGCACACACACACACACACTTTTGCCTATTGTCTTTTACACCAAACTAGAAAGTGAAGCAAGGTCAAGGTAAAACTAATCAGCTCCTTAAGGGCTCTAACCCACAACCTTAGCCATCTTAGCTATATGCTTTCCCATTGAGGCCAACAATAAGATTTGTTTTTTCTTTTTTGCCCACGCTGCGCGGGTTGCATGATCTTAGTTCCCCGACCAGGGATTGAACCCAGGGCCCCGGCAGTGGAAGTTCAGAGTCCTAACCACTGGACCACCAGGGAATTCCCATTTTGTTTTTTAAAAAGCTAAAAAAAAGAAAAAGAAAAGAAATGAGAGACATTCATTGTTTATTCCTCTGAGGGAAAAGGTTGACATAAGTATGTGGATGTGGGTAAAAGATTGAATTGTTGTGTTAGTAACTGGTGTCTGCACATCCATTTCTCACATCCTCTTCCCTTCAGAAGCAATTTCATTGGCTGCATACATTCTACAAATGTTTGAGTGACTTCTAGGTACCAAACACTGGTGGAACAGAAAGAAAAATATGACAGAACAGGTGGTTGATTTAAGCCACTACTTTCAAGGAATTTAGAGGTTGGTATGAGAACCAGACATGTAAACACATTAATTTCAGCACTTTGTAATGGTGTGTACAGAGTTAATGTTTCAACCTCTCCTGTAGCAGATCTGTATAGTCGTTGAGTCATGCATCCACAGTGTCTCACCTCCAAGGAGAATTTTCAGACCAGCAGTAATGGAAGCATCCAGGATATTCCTGGCAAGATACGCTCTGAGAGTCATAAAAGGTGGGAGAGCCATAAAAGGTGTCCCGATCCCTGGTCGGGACAAGAGGCTGTTTTTGGTCTCTTCTCAGCTCAGCAAATTGATAAATTCCTTTTTCTTTCTTGGGTGAAATAATTTCCATGTTTAATTACTCATATCAGTTTTTTAATATTAACAGACTTGCAAATAAGTATATTAAAGGTCTTTTGCATGGTCTAGATTATCTACTTAGAGTTCTTGCTTTATTTTCTCACAAAGAGAAGGGTTCAGTGGAGAGTGGAGCAAGCTAAGGGGACGAGGTCCCAGGCAGTTTCACATTCAAATACCCCTGCCTCAGAGGGCAGCAGACTGCTTAACATCATCACTGAGGCTTCACCTACATATTCCTAAAGTGCTCACGTTTCAAGCCCTAAATTTTTCTAAAGGGAACTATTTTTACAGTGATACTATCATTTTGACTTAATTTTTTTTTATTTTTTAAATACACAAAGCCATTTGTAACAAAAGTAGGCTCTTAACCTGTTTTTCAGTTTTGTTATAGTTCTCTCTCCTGCAGTTATTAATATTTACATTTAAAACACTGTTTCTGTTTCTCGTGGATTTCTTGTGTAAGCACGTGTTAAGTTTTTTCCATGTTTTTTTGCACCCTGTCATTGATCATAAGCCAGCTGATGCAGAGGTTTGAGGAAGGAAGTGTTCTGAACATCTTTACTGGCATGCCTTCCAAACTTTGTTTTTCTTATATTCTTTTCTTTCCTAACATGATTCATTAGCAGGCACAGTGTCTTAATTAGAGACTAAATTTTTTTTCTCTTTGGGTCTTATTCCTGTAATAAGTCATATATTTAACTGTACCAAGGCAGAGCACTCTAGGAAAGTCTCAGCCGCTGTCGCATGCAAATCACTTGTTTCCTATTCTAATGAACACAGAGTTCCATTTTTCTCTCAAATGGTAAATGGTTAGTGCTGTATTGCCTAGATAAATCCCCGTGTTGTACTTAATACTGAGAAAACTGCAAAGTAATGCTTTGACACTGGAAGTTTGACAGTGAAAGATATTTTTCATCATTTGGGGCTCAAAACATTTATTGATAAGTAACATTTGCCTGTATTGTTGAGAATGATAGTACCCCAAATGGCCCATCAGGGTATTAGTCCAAGTCCAGAGAGACATAAAAGATTTAATTCATCACCAAAAATTCCATCTAACAAGGATCCTGTTGGCAATGGTGAGGCCATTCTTGATGTTCATAATGATGCTTAGACACTTCATGACTACTCTGGGAAGTACATTATAGAGTCCAAATTAACTATCTCTAATGACGTTATGGTAAATCTCTGCATGTCTGAGTTTATGCGTCATTTAGCTGATAGGTAATGACAGCTTCAAAACCTCTCATTAAGTTGATGAATGATAGCTTTTCTCTAAATCATAATGGCTCTTGTAGTTCTTTGTTTTTAGTTAAATGAATACCTTTTTAGAAAAAAACAACTGTTCATGAGGTGAATTCTGGTAATGTTTTTCCAAAAGAAGGATATCTGTATTATATCAGATGAGGTTGGACTTGACAGTTGCCATAGTTTAACTGCTTGAAAAAGTGCCCACTAGTATTTCTACATCCTTCTTTAATGCACTGTCTGCTTTTGCATGGCATGGTGGGAAGATTGAGTGGAGAGAAAAGAAAGGACAAGAGAAAGAAAGAAAGGACTCAAGGGATAAAAGAGACATGGTTGGGCCAAAAGAAATCATTCCTTCTCATGACTACATAAAGTTTTTCTGAAACTATGACTAAATTTTCCAGACATAGCCCTAAAAGGGTGGAACTCCTCCATGAACTGTAAGAGATAAAAGGGATTTGAGTAGATATTTGAGTACCTACTATTACCTGGTACCATGTACCATGTGCTTTTTATACATTAACTATTTAACCACATTACGAAACCTTTTGAGGTAGGATCTAAATTGACATCATATTTTTTAGATGTTTTCAGTTAAAATTCAATTCAAAATATACTTCTAGTACCCACTGTGTGCCCGGCTCTGGAAATGTAACAGTGAACAAAGGCCATGTCCAAACAGACATTCTAGTGGAAAAGACAGAGAGCAAATAAGAAAACAAATAGATACACAAAATGATTTCAGGGTGTGATCAATGCTTTGAAGAAAAATAAAACATCCTAGAGGAATAAAAAGTAACTTGAAGGAGGGGTGTTTTAGACAGAGTAGTCAGAAAAAGAGGTAGTAGCGTTTAAGCAGAGACCAGGATGACTGAGCCATGTTAGGATATGTGAGGGAGCAGTGTTTCAGGCAGATGATGCGACAAGTACAGAAGTAGCTGGGTGGAAGTCAGCTTGCTGTGTTCAAGCAATAGCAAAAGAGCAGTCTGGCTGGAGCCAGCTGAGCAAGAGAAAAAGTGGTGGGACATAGTGATGGAGAGGGAGCCAGGGCAGAACATGGAGGCCTTATAAGCCATGGTAAGGCCTCTGAATTTTGTTCTGAGTGTGTGAGAAGCCCTGGGAGGGGTCATACAAACAGGGAGGTACCCTTTAGAAAGCTCACTGTGGCTGCTGTCTGGGAAATAGACTGTAGGGGACCTCAAATAGAAACAGAGTCCAGCTAGGAGGATGTTTCAGAGTCTCTGTCAAAAGATATTAGTGGGGTTTTGTTTGTTTGTTTTTTGCGGTACACAGGCCTCTCACTGTTGTGGCCTCTCCCGTTGCGGAGCACAGGCTCCGGACGCACAGGCTTAGCGGCCATGGCTCACGGGCCCAGCCGCTCCGCGACATGTGGGATCTTCCCGGACCGGGGCACGAACCCGTGTCCCCTGCATCAGCAGGCGGACTCTCAACCACTGCGCCACCAGGGAAGCCCATTAGTGGTTTTTTTTTAAAGATCCCCAAGAGATTCTTATGTGGATCTAGGGTTGAGAAATGCTGATTAACATTTAAGAGAAAAGAATTTCACTGAAAGCTTATTACTGCTTCTTCAAAAAGAAAAACATATGAAAATATTATTAAACATTTTTGCATATTTTTAAAATGTTTGATTTAGGATATATCCCAAATCCTAACCATTTAGGATATATCCTAAATCCTAAAATTTGATTATCATTTCTTATCCGTGAAATAACAGCTTTAATATATTCTGCTTGTATTATTTTAAAACCATTTGCGTTTGGGTTCTGTCTTGTTTTGTTTTTGAGTTCTGTGTCTACTTTCTCCTTTCGCCTCTTCCTCCTTCACCCCTCCTGTTTATCTCTAATCCTTCTGTTCTTCCTACAAAGGAACTTGGAAAATCCTGGGAAGAAGTTCAACTAGAAGATGATCGGGAGTTGCTAGATCATCAGGAAGAGTAAGACTTATTATTGATGCTACTTAATTACAGTGGTTTAAGAGAAGGAAAACAGTTCCTTAGTTTGATTTAAAATTACCATTCTGAAAAGACAGAGTAAAACGAAAGAGAACCCTCTGTCTAAGCCATGCATCATTTCATGTAATATAGTAAAAACTTGAATTCAAAATAACTTCTCATACCAGTCAGAATGGCCATCATCAAAAAGTCTGCAAATAATAAATGCTGGAGAAGGTGTGAAGAAAAGGGAACCCTCCTACAGTTTTGATGGGCATGTAACTTGGTGCAGCCACTGTGGAGAACAGTATAGAGGTTCCTTAAAAAACTAAAAATAGAGTTAGCATATGATCCAACGATCACCCTCCTGGGCATATATCTGGAAAAGACGAAAACTCTAATTTGAAAAGATAAATGGGACTTCCCTAGTGGTCCAGTGGTTAAGATTCCTGGTCGGGGAAGTTCCACGTGCCGTGAGGTGTGGCCAAAAACAAAACAGAAAAAGAAAGAAAAAGAAAAGATACATGCATCCCAATGTTCACAGCAGCGCTGTTTACAGTAGCCAAGACATGGAAGCAACCTAAATGTCCATGGACAGTTGAATGGAAAAACTGTTTGTGGTATACAAACAATGGAATATTACTCAGCCAAAAAAAAGAATGATATAATACCATTTGCAGCCATATAGATGGACCTAGAGATTATCGTACTAAGTAAAGTAAGTCAGACAGAGAAAGACAAATATCATATGATATCACTTGTATGTGGAATCTAATAAAATGATACAAATGAAAAACTAAATAAATAAATAAAATGATACAAATGAACTTACTTAGGAAACAGAAATAGACTCACAGACATAAAAAACAAATTTATGTTTACCAAAGGGGGAAGGGGGGGTAAATTAGGGGTTCAGCATTAACAGATACACAGTCCTATATATAAAATTGCTAAACAACAAGGCCGTACTGTATAACACAGGGAATTCTATTCAGTATCTTGTAATAACCTATAATGGAAAAGAATCTGATGAAGAATATATATGTATATAAATATATATGTATATAAAAGAATATGTATATATGTATGTATATAAAAAGATTTTATACATATGTATATAAAAAACTGAATCACTTTGCTGTATACCTGAAACTAACACATTTTAAATCAACTATACTTCAATAAAAAATAATAATCATAATACCAAAATAACTTGGACATAAGAATCACTAAAGCACCTGTTATTCCAACTAAATAGGTGTTTTGCTACTAAAGCTATTCATTGAACGCACAGGTAGTATATAATTCAGAGAAAAATATATTCCAAAGTGCTTTGCTTATTAGTCCATTGGTCCCTAGACCTTAAAGTGATATGATCTTTGAACTCTCTCTCCATGCTGCTTGCCATTGGAGTAGTGAATATAACTCAATGGAGGTTAACCTTGTTCTGTGTTCATCCCGTTGATGACTAATGTAAAACAGTCACAGCTTCTTTGTTTGAAATTATAAGCTTGAGAAGTATTCTTTTCAACCTAAAAGGATTCCCTGTTATTCATTCTCTTTTCGTTCAAAGCTGTTCAGCCTTTTGTCTCTCCCAGGATTTTGGTTCTCCTGGTTTAGGAATGACAAAAAGTTGACAGTATCTCAAAAAATAAATGCAATGAGGGGAGAAAATGGTAAAAAGGGCCCTGTATGCCTTTTGATTTCTCTATTTGCCATCAAATTTAACACTTTGCCCCATTTAAAATGATCAGTATTTCCCACATGATAGATAAGGGTTTGCCTTTTTAAAATACGCCATTTATCATGCAGAAACACACTCCCAGCACTGCACCTCACAGCATGCGCACTTAGTGGTCATGGTTAATGAGAGAGAGCATACGTTTCCTGATATATCTTCTCTGCAAATTAAAGCTGGTTTTCTCAGAAAGACATTGCACTGATCTCGTAGTGAAATAGCTGCTCGGAGAGGCAAATGTAAGAAAATGGAGCAGCACCTGTTTGCTATTTATATTAATTTCATGGTGCTACTTTGAATTTCAAAAACTGTATCAAAAAGTCATAATATGATATGACAGTCTTTACAGAAATGTCAGAGTTGAAAGAGAATGGCAGGGTTTCCTAGGGAGCAGAAAGTAATACCAAGTCACTGTGCAGGACGCCCTCTTAATGAAGAGAATCTCCATGTTTGCTGTTTTCTTTCTAACACAGTGACTGGTCTGATTGGGAAGAACACCCTCTCTCTGCTGTCTGCCTATTTTGTGAAAAGCAAGCAGAAACAATTGAGAAATTATGTGTCCACATGGAGGTGAGACGCTTTTATTCATTTGAATTTTGTTTCGTTGTTCCAACAGGGAGAAGCTGATGATAACTGCAGCCTCATCATCTTACACCTTTAGTTTCTCAATTATTTTCCCCTTCCTAAAAGTGCTATAAGCAAAACAGAAGAGACAGGGCAGGTCCATGGAGGAGAACTAGAACTCAGGGCGGTTAAGTACAACTGACTGGACCTGGGTGAACTGTTAGTTTGGGATTTCACAGACCACTGATGCCATCCCACCTCTGAGATGCTTATGAGATAGTTCTGGCCTAGACTGTGGGATCTGCAACCACGATTAACAATACCCAGGTTACGGACAGGTTCTGAGTCTTTTTCCAGTGCTTCCCATGCTGGTGAACAAGGAGAGCAGAAAGAGAAAAAGATGCCGTTTACAGAGCCCTTGGGGGAAATGGGGGTGGGGGAGCCATGGAGGTGGAGAGGGCACAGGGTGTGGTCTTGCAGCTCCTTCAGTTAAAAGTATTTGGAGAGAAGAAATTTGAGGACATTTCCAGTTTGCGCTTTCCTTTCTGGAGGCCATCTTTATGTTATATTGGGAGTAGAGAGTTGAGTGTAATAGAAAAATATTACTGTATTATTCTGATGTCCCCTCCCTCCCCTCTCGCCACTCAGCTCTGTCATAGTGGAGCAGACTCTCCTTTTTCACCCATGTTCATTCCATTCTCATTCATAAAAACAAGGACAAGGTGTTCAAAAGGCTATGGGTATTTACTCAAGTGAAAACAGAGTCATTTTGTCTGAAACAGGTTGCCACTAGTATGTGTGTATAGTTTCCAGTGTTTAAATGTAACTCATAATATCCTAGTATCTTTGAATTGAAAGGAGCCTTGGTCCCCCTATCCTGTATAAGAATTCCCTTTGCAGTATCCTTGACTAGTGTCCTCAACCTCTGCTCAGTTACTTTCAGTGATAACATATCATGGAATTCTTAATTATCCTGACTGTGATACTACACTGAATACCTTCACGGGGAGTTAGACGGTCTTTATTCTCTGTGAGCTTATAAGTTGAAGCATTTACCCAGATGGGCGATTGCAGGGATGGAACAGAATAAAAATAAGTCTATGCATCGTGAAAATCAAGACATGTAATTTGTGGGAAGGTATGAGTGAAGAGAAACTTGCAGATTTAAACACTGTATTTGACAGCATAAAACGAAGAGCAGAATTTTTTAAATTACCTATCTGCTTGTGGAGCAAAAGACCTATATTCATAATTCTAGTCCAGACACACAGTACAGTAGGGCCACATCTTACCTAGCGACTGAGGACACTTCTGTCAGACTGCAGAATGCATACAGAGTAAATTTGTAAAGACTGGAGATACAAGCTGTGAACAATTAAATGTTTTAACTGATTGACATGACTTGTTTGGACTGTGCTTTATAAAGCAGTTGGATGTGGGGGGAAGCAGTTAGATTTCGAAGACTTCAAAAGCAGATGATGAACCGAGACTGAGTTTCTACAGTGTTCAAACTCCTGTGAATAAGCTGTCTGTTTATAACTTCAGCCTGAAAGATTAAATAATTTATATGCTCACAGATATATTCATTCCTTTTTTTAGGATGCACATGAATTTGATCTCCTCAAAATAAAGTCAGAACTTGGTAAGTTTGATTCGGAAGTTGTTTTCCATGATGCTGCATTTTTTTATACACCATCCCGTAAACGATGCCTGCGTTGCACAGTTGTGATTGGAGAGTGCACAGCCAAAATGTGTCTCTCCACAGATGGTCTCAACAGAACTGCCTGAAACCGTGATTCACAACCATTTTGAACTATAATATTCACATATGGTTTTGGTTTCATATAGTCTTTCTTCTTTTCTACATATATGATTGCTTCAAATAAAATACAGGTTAATGGTTAATATCATAATGTGGTGGGGACTAGTGGAAAAAACGTGGATTTTGAAGTCACACTAGAGTTCATATTCCAGCTCTAGCACTTACTGGCTGTGTGACATTGGGCCTCGGGTCAGCAGAATGTTACAGAGAGTGGATAAGAGTGTGTAAAACACCTACTGCGCTGCTTGGTAGTGTAGCTAGATTATTTATTATAGATGTACCCAATTGGATCACTATGATAGAAGGATTAGGGTCATGAAGACATAAAGTACTGACTTGCTAATGTATCCAAGACCATAAAAAGCTCACTTCCCACACCTCAACTCACCGACTACTTTCCTAGACTCTTGGACATGTTACTTTACTTTACCGCTCTTATAGGCATGTGTATATGTTATATATGTAATAGATTAATAGTCAAGAACATGGGCTGTGGAGCCAAAAGCCTGGTGTCAAATCCTGGCTCTACACCTACTGGCTGTGCAATTCTGGACAGTTTCCTAATGTATAATGTGGATACGGTAACACCACCTATATGATAGGGTATTGCGAGGATTAAACGCATTAATGCATGGCAAGTGATTAGAACAGTGCCTAGCACATAAGCCCTATATAAGTATTGGCTGTTATTATTTGATATCTATTAATATGCTTTAAAACTGCACTGCCTCTTCAGGTTGGTTAATAAAGAGAAACGGTTCTTTTAAAAAATTATAAAAATGCAAAAATGGGTCTGACCAGTTGTCTGATGGTTCTATGTACTGTCATTTTCAGGACTGAACTTCTATGAGCAAGTGAAACTAGTCAATTTCATTCGGAGGCAAATTCACCAATGTAGATGTTATGGCTGCCATGAGAAGTTCAAGTCCAAAGCAGACTTAAGGACTCACATGGAGGAAGCTAAACATACTTCACTGCTTCCTGAAAGACAGACATGGGATCAACCACAGTGAGTACTGCTCAACGAGACATACATGTCTTTGCTCCTTCTCCATTATTTCATCCCTTTATTTAATTCCTCTTTAGAAAATCCCAGATTTATGAGAGGCAAGGTCAGCCCTGGATTGACCTGAGACCCTGTTCTATAATTCTCATTCAGGTCGAAACCTTTAGATTTCAGAACTAACTACAAAGTGTGTCCAGAGAAGGAACCAGAGTAATAGACTTAAAATTCTTTAGATATTTTAATGTTTGATAATTTATAATGAAGGAAATAGTGATGATTAGGTTGGGGGTGGGAAAAAAAAAACCTCACAAGCAGAAGCAGTTGTTTTTATCAGATACAACTGATAAAAGGAGCAGTGTATGAAAGAGTAACTGTATTTGAACTTTGTTAACCTTAGGGAAGAACCGGGCCCTTTGAGTAGAAATGAGAGAGATGTCATCTTTAGCTTTATCGAGGAGGTATTATTTAATAGCTAGAGTTGCCTGATAGTGGAGTAGGCTGCCTTTTAAGAGAGTGAGTGTCTTGTTATGGTAGATATCAAGCCAAGGCTGAATTGCCAACTACCAAGGATATAGTAAGACTGATGTCAGCCAGTAAAGGTCAAAGTAAAAGTAATTCAGGAGTTCTCTCCCTTACAGCCTTTGCAAAATGCAGTTGAAATTGTTGGCAAGAAACCTAGCAAAATTATAGTGATGTGTACATTCAGCTGCCTAGAAATTTTCTGGATAATATATAGTTTTGGTTATTCAGTATATCTGTGGTTGTTTTCAGGTATTATTTTCCAACCTATGAAAATGACACTCTGCTATGTACCCTGTCTGACAGTGAAAGTGACCTGACAGCTCAGGAACAAAATGGAAATATCGCCATCATTAGTGAAGATACATCTAAACTGCACGCTTTGAAACAAAGCAGTATTTTGAACCAGTTGCTACTACATGAGTCCTTGAAAAACTAGAAGAAACTGCCACATAAGCAATGTTTCATGTTTTCTCCAATGAGACAGATGCAAAAGAATACTTTAAATTTGAACATCAGCAAAGGATTAGTCTTTGGTAAAATTTTTTTTTTTTTTTTTAATTGGCTGTCTTGGGTCTTCATTGTGGTGCGCGGGCTTCTCATTGCAGTGGCTTCCCTTGTTGCGGAGCACAGGCTCTAGGCTCTCAGGCTTCAGTAGTTGTGGCTCGTGGGCTCTAGAGCGTGGGCTCAGTAGTTGTGGCACACAGTCCTAGTTGCTCTGCAGCAGGTGGGATTTTCCCGGACCAGGGATTGAACCCGTGTCACCTGCTTTGGCAGGCGGATTCTTAGCCGCTGCATCACCAGGGAAGTCCAAAATAAACTTCTAAAAAACTAATTTTTTTCCCAAAAATAAAGTAGAAACTAAATAAAATGAAGACTTTTTGTATATGGGCTCTGAAGTTTTGTTATGTGATCATTGTAAATGATCTCATTTCATTAGACTCATATTTATCTATAATAAGGAAGACGTGCCAATCACAAAGAAGTGAAATGTTCAAATTATTTATAAACCTAATTTCAACCAGTAGTTTCAGTCTCTTCCCCACAGGCTTTCGTCATCCAGCAAGTCACAAAATTTGACAGACGTGTGCTTTCTGTACTACACTGGGTCAGCTCTGAATGTAGTGACCAAAAGAGGAGCCACAGAAGAGAGGAACAGTGGTCAAAGTCCTGGATGATGCACAAATCGGACACTATTTCGGAAAAATCAAAATCTGACTATGGTATTATTATTGCTTTCCACCTGGAGTTATTAAACTCCCTAGAAATGGACATCAAGCCAAATAACTTCACTTTCCCCTACAGTGTATATATGGCTAACAGATGAGTACTTTTTTAAAAACAACCACAATACCATTATGACATCTAACAAAATTAACAATAACTTCTTAATATCATATGTTTTCAGTTTTCCTTAGTTGTCCCAAAGATGTCTTTTTACAACATTACCAGTTACAGGACAAATATTGTATGCCTCCTGATAAGATGCAATGAGGAAGACAAAACATCCCTTTTCAGGGTTCTTCCCCAAAATGTATAATGTGAATATACTGAAGAAACATCAACTAAACCCAAGTGAGGGACAATCTACAAATAATTGGCCTTTACTCTTCAAAAAATCAAGGTCATGAAAAACAAAGACTGAAGTAACTGTACCAAATTAAAGAAGACTAGAGAGGTATCACATTGTGTAATCCTGGATTGGATCCCGGACCAAGAAAATATGGTTCTCTTCTGCTGTAAAAGATATTAGTGGGACAATTAGCAAAATTTGAGTAAGGTCTGTAGTAAATGTTATGGTATTCATATTAATTTCCAGATTTCAGCAATTGTACTGTAGTATGTGTAAGAATGTTCTTGTCTTTAGAAAATACACACTGAAGTTGTTAAGGGTAAAGGAGCACTTTGTTGGCAATAAAAAACTAATATGGGGAATTCCCTGGCCGTCCAGTGGTTAGGATTCCGGGCTTCCACTGCAAGGGCCCTGGCTTTTTTTTTTGGCTGCAGTGGATCTTTGTTGCTGTGCATGGGCTTTCTCTAGTTGTGGCGAGCGGAGGGCTACTCTTTGTTGTGGTGTGCAGGCTTCTCATTGTGGTGTCTACTCTTGTTGCAGAGCACGGGCTCTAGGCACGCAGGCTTCAGTAGTTGTGGCACGTGGGCTCAGTAGTTGTGGCTCACAGACTCTAGAGTGCAGGCTCAGTAGTTGTGGCGTATGGGCTTAGTTGCTCCGCAGCATGGGAGATCTTCCCAGAGCAGGGCTCAAACCCGTGTCGCCTGGATTGGCAGGCAGATTCTTAACCACTGTGCCACCAGGGAAACCCAGGGGCCCGGCTTTGATCCCTGGTCAGGGAACTAAGATCCTGCATGCCATGCAGTGCAGCCCAAAAAAAAAAAAGAAAACACACACACACACACACACACACACACACACACACACACACACACCCCTAATATGGGTATGTATATAGAGAGAGAATGATAAAGTAGATGCAATAAGATGTTAACATTTGGGGAAATCTAAGTGAAGGGTATGTGGGAATTCTTTGTACTATGGCAACTTTTCTATAAGTAAAAATAGATTTTAAAAAACTTTTCAAGATGTCTTTTTACTTGGTTTGCTTAAATCAGGATTCTAGTGAGACACATACTTTGCATTTGGTTGGTGTGGTCCTTAAGGGTCTTATGTATAACAGTTTATGCTGTTAAACTCTTTCATTTTAACTGCCACTTACTTGTTAAAGAGATTAGGTCATCTTTCTCACTTTCTGAATTTGGATAGCATATCCTCTTTGTGTCATTTAACATGTTCCTCTATCACCAGTTTTTCCTGCAAACTGGTATATCTAGAAGCTCCATTAAAAATTTGTGTTCGGGCTTCCCTGGTGGCGCAGTGGTTGAGAGTCCACCTGCCGATGCAGGGGACATGGGTTCGTGCCCCAGTCCGGGAGGATCCCACATGCCACGGAGCAGCTAGGCCCGCGAGCCATGGCCACTGAGCCTGCGCATCCGGAGCCTGTGCTGCACAACGGGAGAGGCCACAACAGTGAGAGGCCCGCATACCACAAAAAAAAAAAAAGTTTGTGTTCAAAAAAATTTTTACAAAAATAATTCGTAAGAGATGTGTGCTTTCTCCCACATCACATCAGGCACATGATATCTGATGTGCCACTTATAGAGATGTGACAATTGATCAGTGCGTTCATGTGCTGTCAGTCTGGTGCATCATTATAAAGTTCCCCATCAAACCATTTTAATATCCACTGGTTTATGTTATCTAGAATTTTTTTTAGGGCTTGCAAAATGGTGATCTTCTAATTCTATGATTTCTTTACCAATGGGTACTTTACACAGCATGTGTACTAGAGAGCACTGGAGTCTGAAGTTCTAGTTTTCAACTGTTAATGCAAGCCTGTATAGGCAGTGCACCAAGACTAATCTTGAAGTCATGTGGTACAGCCTGTCCAGAATCTCAAGAGTAATCTCCCACCATGTGATCCACAATTGACTGGATTTGTAAATTATATGAGCTGTGGCCAACGCTTTAGAATCTAAGCCTCGAGCTGTGCAGACACCCATACAATTCTTTTCATTGAAAACCAGCAAACAATAAATAGGAGCCTTTATTTAATGAAAAACCTACCGTTGTTTTAAAACCAAAGATCAAGAAGGAAGTTAGTCCTGTGCCTAGAAACTTGTGTCTCTAGGAATCAGATTTGTTCAGAAAATCAAGGAATATCTGGGGTGTTTCTAGAATGTGCTTCAGTCTTAGAACAGGAACAATGACAGGAAGAGAACAAAATAAATGACAGGATGAGAACAAAATAAATGAAGAGTAATTAAGCTTGAGAAGGAGAAAGCGTTTTTGGAGATAAAGTTGAGATTTTAGAGAACAGATCCAACAGATATTAAAGGAAAAATGAAATTGAAAGACAAGATAAAAGGGACAGGATACTGTACTTGGAGTTTCATTCATTTAAGAGGTTTTTTTCTTAGGTTGGTAGATATTTGGGGGGGATCATCTGGAACATAAGGACAGAAATAATAACTTAGTTCCAAAGAAATTGAACAAGAGTATAAGCAAAGTCTCAGCAAACTGTACTGACTGTCCCAAAGGGAGCGCGGATACAGGCCACTACTGGCAAAGTGCTCTCTTAGAGCCACGCAGAGACTCCTTGGGAAGAACCACTGGTGGATTGCACCTTAAAGACTGGGACAGTGGTGCCAAGTGTACCTGAAAGTCTGGACCATTTGAGAGGGGAATAGCAGTCAAATGCAAGTAGACTGTTCAGGGGGTATTGAATGAGTGTCCAGATGTTGCTGTGATTGTAGGTAAGGACGTAAGTGCTGCCTGTGCCCAGAGTGGGCACACCTGAGAAATTCTGAGCATTAAGACTCTAAAGGAGGGCAGCAAGAAAGATGAAGCATAATAGAAGAGAGTGAGCAGGGCAGTGATAAATGGAATCCAACCCTGGATTGGCTGTCGGCCCAGTCAGAAAATACGTGCTGATTATCTCACTCGGAAAACTGAGAGTGCTCAAGATTTTTTTTGGACAGTAGTTGCCTTTGACAGACCGGAACCTAGTGACTCATCTCTCAGAACAGAAGACCCTGTTAGACAAAATCTAGATGAGAAAGGTAGCATTATCTGGGCCAGAAAGGAGAGAAAGTTTAAGAAAAAAAAAGAAGGAAGGAAGCATCAGATCCTACAAATACTGTTAGGCCTATATGTGTTAGGGAAGGAAAGGGAATAACTTAAGAAATAAATTATACTGTGACAAACTCAGCTGCTCCTCCCAGAAAGGTGCAGAGGGAAATCGAGCCCTAGGACATATCCACTATTGCTGGAAAAGGCAGAGCCAAGAGAAATACTGCTGGAGGCTGGACCAGTCCAAAGCAGGAGAAGGTGGTGTGCTGAGGAGGGCTCTCCAGAAGTATGTGTCCTCACCAGTGCAATTAGTCTGGTAGTCCAGTTGCCCCCAGTATTTATATATGTCTTTAATAATAATAAGTTTAGTTGGGTATATGGCTGCCTAGAATGAAGACTGCATTTCTCAACCTCTCTGGTAGTTCAGGGTATAGGCTTGTTTTATTGGCACTTTACTGTATTGCATTTTTCAGATGCTGTGTTTTTTACAAACTGAAGGTTCATGGCAATCCAGCGTCAAGCAAGTTTATCCGCGCCGTTTCTCCACCAGCATTTGCTCACTTCGTGTCCCTCACGTTTTGGTAATTCTCACAGTATTTCAAACTTTTTCATTATTACTATATATGTTATGGTGATCTGTGATCATTGATCTTTGATGTTACTATTGTCATTGTTTTGGGGTGTCATGAGCACCCCAAACCAGCCCATCTCTCTCCCTCTCTTCAGCCCTCCCTATTCCCTAAAACACAACAATATTGAACTTAGGCCAGTGAAGAGCCCTACAATGGCCTCTGAGTGTTCAAGTAAAAGGAAGAGTCACACATTTGTCGCTTTAAATCAAAAGCTAGAAATGATTAAGCTTAATGAGGAAGGCATGTTGGAAGGTGAGAGAGACCAAAAGCTAGACCTCTTATACCAAACAGTCAAGCTGTGACTGCAAAGGGATAGTTCTTCAAGGAAATTAAAAGTGCTAATCCAGGGCTTCCCTGGTGGCGCAGTGGTTGGGAGTCCACCTGCCGATGCAGGGGACATGGGTTCGTGCCCCGGTCCGGGAGGATCCCACATGCCGCGGAGCGGCTGGGCCCGTGAGCCATGGCCGCTGGGCCGGCGCGTCCGGAGCCTGTGCTCCGCAACGGGAGAGGCCACAACAGTGAGAGGCCCACATAACACAAAAAAAAAAAAAAAAAAAAAAGTGCTAATCCAGTGAACACATGCATAATAAAGCAAAACAGCCTTATTGCTGATGTGGACAAAGTTTTAATGGTCTGGATAGAAGATCAAATAAGCCACGACATTCCTTTAAGCCAAAGCCTGATCCACAGCAAGGCCCTAACTCTCTTCCTTCAGGAAGCTGCAGGAGAAAAGTTTGAAGCTAGCAGAAGTTGGTTCATGAAGTTTAAGGAAAGAAGCCATCTTCATAACATAAAAGTACAAGGTGAAGCAGCAAGTGGTAATAGAGAAGCTCCAGCAGGTTATCTAGGAGATCTAGCTAAGATAATTTATGAAGGTGGCTATACCGAACAACAGGTTTTCAGTGTAGACAAAGCAGCCTTCTATTGGAAGAAGATGCCATCTAGGACTTTCATAGAAGTTAATGCCTGGCTTCAAAGCTCCAAAGGACAGGCCGACTCTCCTGTTAGGGCTTAATGCAGCAGGTGACTTTAAGTTGAAGCCATTGCTCATTTACCATTTCCAAAATTTTAGGGCCCTTAAGAATTATGCTAAGTCTGGGCTTCTCTGCTGGCTCAGTGGTTAAGAATCTGCCTGCCAATGCAGGGGACATGGGTTTGAGCCCTGGTCCGGGAAGATTGCACATGCCGCGGAGCGGCTGGGCCCGTGAGCCACAACTCCTGAGCCCACATGCCACAACTACTGAAGCCCACGCACCTAGGGCCTATGCTCTGCAACAAGAGAAGCCACCTCAATGAGAAGCCTGCACACTGCAACGAAGAGTAGCCCCTGCTTGCCGCAACTAGTGAAAGCCCACATGCAGCAACAAAGACCCAATGCAGCCAAAAATAAATAAACTTATTTTTTTTAAAAAAATTATGCTAAGTCTACTCTGCCTGTGCTCTGTAAATGGAACAACAAAGCCTGGATGACAGCACATCTGTTTACAACATGGTTTACTGAGTATTTTAAGCCCACTATTTAGATCTGCTCAGAAAAAAGATTCCTTTCAAAATATTACTCTTGGGCTTCCCTGGTGGCGCAGTGGTTGAGAGTCCGCCTGCTGATGCAGGGAACACAGGTTCATGCCCCAGTCTGGGAAGATCCCACATGCTGCAGAGCGGCTAGGCCTGTGAGCCATGGCCGCTGAGCCTGTGCATCCGGAGCCTGTGCTCCGCAACGGGAGAGGCCACAACAGTGAGAGGCCCATGTACCGCAAATATATATATATATATATATATATATATATATATATATATTACTGTTTGTTGACAGTGCACCTGTTCACCCAATATCTCTGATGGAGATGTGCAATCAGATTCATGTTTTCATGCCTGCTAATACAATATCCATTCTGCAACCCATGGATCAAAGAGTCATTTCAACTTTTAAGTCTTATTATTAAGAAATACACTTTCTGGGCTTCCCTGGTGGCGCAGTGGTTGGGAGTCCGCCTGCCGATGCAGGGGACATGGGTTCGTTCCCCGGTCCGGGAGGATCCCACATGCCGCGGAGCGGCTGGGCCTGTGGGCCATGGCCACTGAGCCTGCGCGTCCGGAGCCTGTGCTCCGCAACGGGAGAGGCCACAACAGTGAGAGGCCCGCGTACCGCAAAAAAAAAAAAAAGAAATACACTTTCTAAGGCTATAGCAGTCATAGATGGTGATTCTAATAATGTATCTGGACAAAGCCAATTGAAAACCTTCTGGAAAGGATTCAGCATTCTAGACACCACTAAGAATATTTGTGATTTACGGGAAGAGGTCAAAATATCAGCATTAACAGGAGACTGAAAGAAGTTGACTCCAGTCCTCAAGGATGAGTTTGAGGAGTTCGGGACTTCAGCGGAGGAAGTAACTGCAGATGTGATGGAAATAGCAAGACAACTAAAACTAGAAGTGGAGCCTGAAGATGTGACTGAATTGCCACAATCTCATATAAAGCTTGAATGGATGCAGAGTTACTTCTTAAGGATGAGCAATGAAAGTGGTTTCTTGAGATGGCGTCTACTCCCAGTGAAGATGGTTGAAATGACAACAAAGGATTTAGATTACATAAACTTAGTTGATAAAGCAGCAAGGTTGATAAAAGGATTTAGAATATTACATAAACTTAGTTCATAAAGCAGCAGCAGAGTTTGAGAGGATTGACTCCAATTTTTTTTTAATAAATTTATTTATTTATTTATGGCTGCATTGGGCCTTGGTTGCTGCACGCACGCTTTCTCTAATTGTGAGCAGGGACTGCCCTTCGTTGTAGTGCGTGGGCTTCTCATTGCGGTGGCTTCTCTTGGTGCGGAGCACGGGCTCTAGGCATGTGGGCTTCAGTAGTTGTGGCACATGGACTCAGTAGTTGTGGCTTGCAGGCTCTAGAGCGTAGGCTCAGTAGTTGTGGTGCACGGGCTTAGTTGCTCCGCAACATGTGGGATCTTCCCAGACCAGGGCTCGAACCCAGCTCCCCTGCCTTGGCAGGCGGATTCTTAACCACTGCGCCACCAGGGAAGCCCCTGACTCCAATTTTGAAAGAAGTTCTGTGGATAAAATGCTATCGAACAGCATGCGTGCTGCAGAGAAATCATTCATAAAAGGAAGAGTCAATCAATGAGTCAAACTTCATTGTTGTCTTATTTTAAGAAACTGCCATGGCCACCCCAGCCTTCAGCAGCCACCCTGACCAGGCAGCACCATCAATATCAAGGCAAGACCCTCCACCAGCAAAAAGATTACAGTTCACTGAAGGCTCAAATGATGGTTAGCATTTTTTAGCAATAAAGTGTTTTTTAATTAAGGTATGTACATTGTTTTTTTAGATATAACACTATTGCACACTTAATACACTACAGTATAGTGTAAGCATAACTTTTATATGCACTGGGAAATCAAAAAGTTTGTGTGACTTGCTTTGTTGAGATACTTGCTTTGTTGCAGTAGTCTGGAACCAAGCCTGCAGTATCTCCAAGGTATGCCTGAACTCGTGTGTCTTCTTTAAGAAACGACACAAGCACCATTTGCTTTACTTACATCCTTTCCTACCTTATTTCGCTGAGGATGTAGATATTCTGCATATGAGACAATGAGGTCCAAGCCACGCATGGTGGGGCAACAGTGTCAACGGAATCTGGATCCGTGACACTATGGAAGGGTACACCAGCACTGGAATGCTGACCTAGACATTTATGTGAGCAACCTTCCCCCAGTTATATTGGGTTTTCTGTCATTCATATCCAAAACTAATCCTAACACACCTAGAGATTCAAGCTGCAGAAATGTCAACAACAGCTTTAGTTCAGGAATCTGCTGAGGATGTTTTCCAGCTGAAACAAATAAGGAAATGAAGGAGAAACTCACCTTGCATGGCAGGCTTCACATGCCCTAGCAATTTCACAACAAAAGGCAACAGCAGGAGCCACTGTGTCATTATTTAGAGCCCAGGTTCCATGGATCAGGGAATGTTGGAGACAGGGGGCTCAAAGGGGAAATGGAAGTTAAGAGGCATTTAATATTCAAGCTGAGAGAGGGACTTCCCTGATGGCACAGTGGCTAAGACTCTGTGCTCCCTGTGCAGGGGTCCGGGTTCAATCCCTGGTCAGGAAACTATGATCCCACAACTAAGAGTTCACATGCTGCAACTAAGGAGCCCTGGAGCCATAACTAAGACCCAGCATAAATAAATAAATTAATTTTTTTTAAAAAGGTTTAAGATGGGAGAGAAAGATCTCAAAACAGACTAATGACTGGGCTTGCCATCACTGCTATTTCTAAACTTTGCAAGAGTGTAAAAATCTTTTGGGGAAGAAAATTCTCATCTGCCCTCTTAGGTTCTCTGGCTGGGTCTGCAAAATAATCTGACAACAGACATATTAATATGAGAAAAGACATACAAATTTCTTAGATGTTAAAAGGTTTACATGATGTGGGGTCTTCCTAGAAAGAGAGAAAACTTACAAAGAAACAGCTAAACTTGGAGGCCTTTATAGCATTTGAACATAAGAGGTTACATTTAAAAAGAAGTGTCAAGACAAATGGAAAGGGCTTCGAGCTTCTAGGGGCAGCAAATTGTAGGAAGGCAAATATATGGGAAATTAATGGTAGATAAGGCCTAGTTGGTAAGGTTTGTTTGTGTAGACTCTCGCGGGGCCATCCTGTCTCCTGTATCACTGGAAGTTGTTACTCCCTTCCCACGGACAGTGGTGGGGTGGGGTGGCAGTGGGGAGACACCTTCACAAGGGGAATTTGTGATCTTACTTTCCAGAAGATAGGGGACCGCAGAGAGCTCATCCTGTGCCTGCTTTTTCTCAGTTGCCTTCAGCTCAAAATAATCCTTATGCCAGAGTGGCCTATATTGGGATGGTGTATTCTGACCTCCTACAGTCGCATATGTCACCCTGAGAGAAATATGTGTTGATTCTTCCCATAGGAATGATAAAACATGTTGTCGATGTTAACTTCTTGAGGGAGCTTCCTCCTGGTTGAGTTTGTTGACGGATCAAGGATTTCAGATAACTTACACAGCATCCTGGTGAAGCCCAAATCAAGATTTCACTGTCTGTTTTATGGAAAGTGCAAGGTTCTGGGAGCACCACTTTGTCTTGATAATTACTTGAAAATCTTGGTATTGGTTTTTTTTTCTGTTGTTTAATTTTGTTGGTGTCGAGTACTTTAATGATACTCTTTAAAAAGTGAGGTGTAACAGAAATTTGGTGTTTAACTTCTGAGACTCTGAAAAAAACCACACTAGTGGTTCTAGTGAGACCCTGTCCAGGCTGCTGAAAGAACCACAGTGCTCTTCAGGTATGAAGAACCCTTCTGGTTCAGAACGAGCAGAATCAGAAATTGGGAAGGATGAGTTTTAGACTTTAATGCCTTTTAACTTTAACTCAAGCAGACAAGAGCATCTAATCTTAGAACTTTAATTTTTCCCTGGGAAATTCACAATGGTAGAGGGGTTATTTTTAAATTGGGGACATCAGTATTTTACTGGAATGTTTTTTATTGAAGCATCTTTACAGTATCATATAATCTCTTTGCAGAACCTCTGATAGACTGTTCTAAACAACATGGTTAGATGTAATTTAGAATGAAAAGTGAACGGGGAGCTTTCAGCTGGAGTTCAGCGTGGCCTGTAATTACTTCAGTCGATAAATTGCCTTCCGAGGGCAATAGCTACCCTCTTCACCACCAGGCTCAGGAGAACACACAAAGGAAGAGTAGTTGGCATTTGGGCGGGAGGGGTCGGGGGTGTGCTCATGATAAGGGCTGCACTGTCATCCTAGATTGTTGATCTCCTCCTGCAGGGGAGACAGGCACACTCTCAGTTGGCCTGTAGTTTAATGGTTAAGCCTAAGGAGCTAAGAGAACACAAACCTGGAGAATATGGGAAAAGGGGAACTCCTTTCCCCTAGCCTCTTGTTTCCATGAGAAAGGAATCCATTACAATAACATTCTGGGTTTCTTTCTGGCCCCTCTCATTCCTGAAAGGGAGGAATGGCAGAACAGGAGCTTGGCATGTGTGACTCAGCCCCTTCCTCCTTTTTCTCTTTGGGATCTGTCTCTGCATACAGAACGCATCCTGTTCTGCTCCTACTTTCTGCAAACTTTAGACTGGCAGGCTCTGCCAGGGCAGTTGGAGGCCTTCAGTTGTCCAACACTCTCTACGACTGTGTGGGTAAGTCTGCCTGACTTTGGGGTTCAGTGTTAGAAAGCTCACTTGCCCACAGCTACAAGCCACGTTCTCCAGTATCTTTATTAGCAATAATAGTGATATTTAATCTCCGTCTGCTTGACTCATGTTTCAGCTGGCCCGTCTATAAGGTATATGGTCTCTCAGGGTATGGTGGGTGTGGCCAGAATTACTCGGAGACCACCTCTCAGAGAGTTACCCCTAAATACACTAAGTCCCAGCAATCAGGACGCAAAATAGACTTAGTTCCATCCAGGGCTAAGGCTGGGCGATAAAGCCAGAGAATTCTAGCATGTCATCGGTGAGCTAGCTGCACATATAGTTTTTGAAAGACCATTAGAACTAGGGTCTTAGGTTGAGTTCCACCAGAAACAGACTTTAAGATAAGAATTTGAGGGCAGGTCATTCGTTTGAGAGGTAAACCCAGGAAATACCAGTTCAGGAAGTGAGGCAGTAAAACATAAAATGGAACACAAAACTGTGCATTAATGAAGTTACTACTATGGGAATGCGGCTTAGCTTACTGAGGACCTCTGGGAGACTGCATAGGACACTTCTTAGAGTTGTGCCACACCTACCAGCACCACCAAGGGGCGAAAGGCTGGGATATTTATCCACCAACTCCACTGGCCATGGGTTGAGGACTGCTCGCAGGGGCATAAATTCCCTGGCACTTCAGCCTGCCTTGCACATTGGTCTAGTGTCCTCAGGAGGCTGGAGAAGTCCCTCATACAAAGACTGAGGAAGCGGTAATGCGAAAGGGCCCCGACGATAACTGCTACAACTGCAGGTGCTGCATTATCACAAAAGTAAAAGTTTTATGGAGACCTTAGCAGTCCTCACAACTTTTCCATGTATCATCTCACTTGACCTTCAAAACAATGTTGTGACGTATCTAGTCAGGAACTTGGATCCTAATCAGGGGTAAAGAGAGGATGAGAACACTGAAGATCACAGAGATGGGGCAAAGCACAACAAAGTAATATATGACAAAATAATATATGGAAACTTAAAATGAGACCAAGCCAAGTCCCGGACTTCTTCAGTGAATGGAGAAATAGCGGTTCTTTTTGAGAAGATGGAGTCGAACTTGAATGAGAACAAGAGTGAATTCTTTAATGTAAGTGCTTTGCTGAATTCATATGCAGAATTGACATACCAGTCCACTTCCATCAAGGGCATCAAGTTGCAGCTATTGTTTGCTTAGGCTGCAAAAATAGTGACCCTATATCCTTGAAGTTTAATTCAGCTATTTCTGTAAGCTTTAGATGATGGATAGCTAAAGGGTTAAACCAGAAGCTGCCGTTGAACTCTCATGCCTTATAATTGATATTCTGAAAAGCTAAAGCACATTCAATTCCTGAGGATAGCAATTTGCAAGATTGAATGGCATTGGAGCATGCTAATTCAAACTGGAAACATTCAGCTAAGTTAATATTAATCTCAGAGTATTCTAAGATTCAAGTGAAGATGTGTCCTTTGGTCCTTGTAAAATTAGACTACAAAAAAACAGATTTTTGAGGATATTCTCAGTCACTTGGATACACAGTGAGCAGTAAATGAAACTCATAAAACCATAGATTCTGATTTTGGTGTTTTCATCATCTGGCAAACATTACAAGAACAAAAGAATATGCTGTGGTAAATTGTAAAAAGTAAAAAAAAAAAAATTTAAGGAGGAAGAGAAAGTGAAAGGCAAACCAAAGAAATAAAAATTATTAATCTCTTACTCTCACAAAAGGTAGCCCACTTTAACACTTCCATCACTGACTACAAAGATGAAGTCCAAAACCTGGTATTTGAGATCCCACAGAGTTGGGCCGAAACTACCTCCTCCAACACCCCATCCATCACGAAGTCCAGTCAATTCTATCTCCAAAATGCATCTCAGTTTCTACCACCATCATCTCAGGACTGAACTACTGCAACAGTCTCCTAACTGGTTGCCCTCCTTCCTTGCTGGCTCCTGCAACCTGTCCTCCTCAGAGCAGCTTTAAAAATCCTTCTCTGGTATAATAAACTTTCTTGATTACCTACCCAGCATCTTCCCCTTTCTTCCTTTGCTAATAGTTTCCAAATTATTTGGGGGAACCTATTCTACCCTTACTAAGTAGCAGCCATGCCACTGGGATTGACTCCAGCCCTAGCTTCATGGGAGTCCTGATTGGAATAAGAACTTCACTGCAGAGTTACGCAGAGAGGTTATGCAGAGAGGTTATGCAGAGAGGTGCATAGCAAGGGCCCGCCCACAGTGACTGGTCCGGGCCGAACCAATCAGAGTGAAGGTGAGGAATTCTGTTACATTCCTCACCTGCTTCAAGAAGCTAGACCCTCCCTTTCCTGTTGAAAAAAAGACACCCGTACCCTGGTTGCTGCCAAAAATCATCTTGCCACCCTTGAGAGAAACTAGCTCAAGGCCTCTCACAGAAGAGCAAAGAAGAGAGTTCCTGAGAAATGAAGCCAGAGCCCTCACCTCAAGGTCCTCTGAACTTTTCGGTTACTCTGGTCAATTAATCCCCTTTATTGTTTAAACCCTTGACATGGGGTTTTCTTTCTCATACAGTGAGAGCTTCCCATTGAATATGGAGGCAGGTCTAAACTTCTTACATGATCTGCAAGGCCCTCAGGAATTTCATCTCCACCCTTGTTTCACATCACTCTCCTGTGTCCGCTACTCTGCAGGCAACCAGGCCTCCTTGCGTTCATTGAACCGACCGTGCTTTTCCCATGTCTGTGTTTTCATCACTTCTGTTCTCTCTGTATTCTTGCCCCAGCTCTTTAATGTCACCTTGTCATCCAGGCCTCACTTTGACTCTCCCCACCTGCTGGCCCAGTTCACTTTCTATCCCTGCACTAACGCTTCTGCTGCCAGTGCAGTTTCAAATTCAGCAATCCCATAAGACAAGCAGAGGGGGACAGTCAGCCTGTGAGTAAATAATAATCTTGGGTGCCACAAGCAAAAATTGCATTTGTTCTTCCACTGTCACCTCTAGGAGGAAATTATACAATAGATTTGTGGGGACATCAAATTTTTCTGGGGCTAAGATGGAGAATTTTATTGCCAAGAATTCCAAGAGGCTGCTCCCCATGAGACAAAAGCCAAACTGCACTTTGATGCCAGTTATGTGGGTCTAGAAGGTCTCGGCTGAGAGCTGATAGAGGTGGAACACGAGGAGAAGGTGGAGGGAGAGACAGCAGCAAGGCACTGAAAGGTGAGGGAGGTTGCAGGGGTCAGAGAGAGCAGACCATTCAGCACCGGAGGGAGTTGAAGAGGACTTAGAAGATATTTTGATGCACGATGCCTGGTGCACAGTTGTCTCCTTAAAAACATTCCATGGGAAACAGAAAACAGATTAGATGTTACCAGGGGTGAGGGAGGGGGCATGGGAGTTACTGTTTGATGGTTACAGAGTTTCTGTTTGGTGTAATGAAAAAGTTCTAGAAATAGACAATGATGATGGTGGCACAACATGTGAATGTAATTGATGCCACTTAAAATGTCAAAATTGTCAATTGTATGTTATGTATATTTTACCACAGTTTTTAAAAATACCAAAAAAGGAGAGACTTTTTTTAAAACTAGCTAACTGTGTGTAGGATGAACTGGAGTAGGTCAAACTTACCAAGAAGGAGGCTGGCATATTAATCTAGTCAGGAGGTGATGGGAACTTCAACTAGAGCAGTGAAAGTCAGTCAGGGGAAAAATTAGAAATAAAATGGTCAGGACCAAAAGCATTTGGTTTGGGACCTGCTGAGTTTGAGGTGTGTGGTGGATATTGCCCAGCTCTCTCCATCAGGACTGAGGTCTTCATTCCCTCAGCTGGCCTGGATACAGGTTGATAACAGCCCACAGCTGCAGCCCTCTCTGGACATGGCCGTTGGCCAAATGAAGCTGCATTGTACAAGGGGTTGTGGAAACTTGGGAAGAAATGATTTCTACCAGAAGGAGGGCGTGATGGGCAGAGAAGGCAATCTGAGAAACTCCGTTGGATTTGGCAACGTAGAGGTCCTTGGTGACCTTGGCAGGAGAAGTATCTCTGCGGAGGGACAAGGTCTGGATTGCAGTGGGATGGAGGCCACAAGGGGAGCAATGAGGAAGAGCTGGACCTGCATCTGGAAGGAAGGGTAGGAAGTAGGGCACGGAAAGACCTGCGAGGCAGGGAAAATGGTGTGAGCTAGGAAACCCAGGCTGGGGAATCACCCAGTTTAACTGGAGGAGGTCAGGGGAAGGCAGGAGGGATGACTAGAGAGATGGATCATGCCCATGCATGGCTGTCCTAACTGGTAGGCTGTGGGGTTTGAGCAGAATTAACAAGGCTGTTTCCACACTTGTGCCTGAGTTCCATTGGGTTCAGGAAACTGCCTTCTGGTGGGAACTGGGCATTCTCTCCCCAGAGTGTGGCCTTGACCATTCGCACCAGCTGAATGTTTTGGCTGCAGTCCCTTGGACTCCATGTTTATGAATGCATACGTAATACATTTTCTGAAGTGAATTCCATTAAGCCAGTTTAATTCGTGCATCAATCCTATTCTGTCATGTAAACTTGTATCTAATACTTTTTACTTTTATTTTTATTTTACTAAAATTATTTTCAAAGGATTTATTTCTGTTTTGTATAAACTGTACAGGAAGTATTTAATACATCTATCAAATTGCATCCATTATAGCTTCTGCCATTGTATATTTTCTTTTGTGACCTGTGTTTTTATCAAATCCAATTTCCCTAGACAAATATTTGCAGATCTAAATTTTATTAAGTCTCCCAGGAATGCAAGGATTCTTCAGTATACACAAATCAATCAATGTGATAAACCATATTAACAAACTGGAGGAGAAAAACGATATGATCGTTTCAATACATGCAGAAAAAGCTTTCAACAAAATTCAACACCCATTTATGATAAAAACCCTGCAGAAAGTAGGCATAGAGGGAACTTACCTCAACATAATAAAGACCACATATGACAAACCGACAGCCAACATCATTCTCATTGGTGAAAAACTGAAACAATTTCCTCTAAGATCAGGGACAAGACAATGTTGCCCACTCTCACCACTATTATTCAACATAGTTTTGGAAGTTTTAGCCACAGCAAGCAGAGAAGAAAAAGAAATAAAAGGAATCCAAATCAGAAAAGAAGAAGTAAATGGGAGATGATTTGCAGATGACATGATACTATACATGGAGAATCCTAACATGCTACCAGTAAACTACTGGAGCTAATCAATGAATTTGGTAAAGTTGCAGGATACAAAATTAATACATAGAAATCTCTTGCATTTCTATACACTAATGATGAAAAATCTGAAATAGAAATTAAGGAAACACTCCCATTTACCACTGAAACAAAAAGAATAAAATACCTAGGAATAAACCTACCTAGGGAGACAAAAGACCTGTATGCAGAAAACTATAAGACACTGATGAAAGAAATTAAAGACAATACAAACAGATGGAGAGATATACCATGTTCTTGGATGGGAAGAATCAACATTGTGAAAATGACTATACTACCCAAAGCAATCTACAGATTCAGTGCAATCCCTATCAAACTACCAATGGCATTTTTCACAGAATTAGAACAAAAAATTTCACAATTTGTATGGAAACACAAAAGACCCTGAATAGCCAAAGCAATGTTGAGAAAGAAAAACAGAGCTGGAAGAATCAGGCTCTCTGACTTCAGACTATACTACAAAGTTACAGTAATCAAGACAGTATGGTACTGGCACAAAAACAGAAATATAGATCAATGGAACAGGATAAAAAGCCCAGAGATAAACCCACGCACATATGGTCACCTTATCTTTGATAAAGAAGGCAAGACTATACAACGGAGAAAAGACAGCCTCTTCAATAAGTGGTGCTGGGAAAACTGGACAGCTATATGTAAAAGAATGAAATTAGAACACTCCCTAACACCATACACAAAAATAAACTCAAAATGGATTAAAGACCTAAATGTAAGGCCAGACACTATCAAACTCTTAGAGGGAAACATAGGCAGAACACTCTATGACATAAATCACAGCAAGATCCTTTTTGACCTACCTCCTAGAAAAATGGAAATAAAAACAGAAATAAACAAATGGGACCTAATGAAACTTAAAAGCTTTTACACAGCAAAGGAAAACATAAACAAGACGAAAAGATAACCTTCAGAATGGGAGAAAATGTTTGCAAATGAAGCAATGGACAAAGGATTGATCTCCAAAATTTATATGCAGCTCATGCAGCTCAATATCGAAAAAAACAAACAACCCAGTCCAAAAATGGGCAGAAGACCTAAATAGACATTTCTCCAAAGAAGATATACAGATTGCCAACAAGCACATGAAAGGATGCTCAACATCACTAATCATTAGAGAAATGCAAATCAAAACTACAATGGGGTATCACCTCACACCTGTCAGAATGGCCATCATCAAAAAAATCTACAAACAATAAATGCTGGAGAGGGTGTGGAGAAAAGGGAACCCTCTTGCACTGTTGATGGGAATGTAAATTGATACAGTCACTATGGAGAACAGTATGGAGGTTCCTTAAAAAACTAAAAATAGAACTACCATACGACCCTGAAATCCCACTACTGGGCATGTACCCTGAGAAAACCATAATTCAAAAAGAGTCATGTACCACAGTGTTCATTGCAGCTTTATTTACAGTAGCCAGGACATGGAAGCAGCCTAAGTGTCCATCAACAGATGAATGGATAAAGAAGATATGGCACATATATACAATGGAATATTGCCATAAAAAGAAACGAAATTGAGTTATCTGTAGTGAGGTGGATGGACCTAGAGACTGTCATACAGAGCGAAGTAAGTCAGAAAGAGAAAAACAAATACCGTATGCTAACACATATATATGGAATCTAAAAAATGGTTCTGACGAACCTTGGGGCAGAACAGGAATAAAGACGCAGACATATAGAATGGACTTGAGGACACGGGGAGGGGAAGGGAAAGCTGGGACGAAGTGAGAGAGTGGTGTGGACATATATACACTACCAAATGTAAAATAGATAGCTAGTGGGAAGCAGTTGTATAGCACAGGGAGATCAGCTCCGTGCTTTGTGGCCACCTAGAGGGGTGGAATAGAGAGGATGGGAGAGAGACACAAGAGGGAGGAGATATGGGGTTATAAGTATATGTATAGCTGATTCACTTTGTTATAAAGCAGAAACTAACACACCATTGTAAAGCAATTATACTCCAATAAAGATGTTAAAATAAATAAATTTTATTAAGGCAGTTTGATCTTTTTTAAAATCTCTAACAAATTGTACAGTGTGACATTTTAACCATTATCAGTTCTATTTTGAGATTATTCCTTCTAATAAAATTCATTAAGACTAGGGGAAAAAAATCCTTGATAAAAATCTGTTGTCAAGGCTTCTGGACTTCATCTGTGTTCTTTTTGGATGTGTCAGTCAGAAGGTGGAACCAGGACAGCCTCGTGGTAGTCCAGTTACAAAGGGATAAACAGAAACTTCAGGGTGATACTTAACGTATCCTGTTATCAATGAAATTCTGAGGCACTAATGAAAGAGTTCTTTTGACTCTCCATGCCTCTGCCTTACAGTCAATGAATGATTTAAGCTCCGAAGAGAATCTGGCTGATTAATTTATAGGATAGCTTTCATCTTTGTACATTCTTCTTTTCCTCAGAAAGTGACAACATAGTTATTTTAAATCTCCCTTGAAACCAGTGATAATATTAATCATGTTTTTTTAAATGCCTTGCTTAGTGAAATTCTTTCAGTAGCATGTTACTATCCCAGGCATTGAAATAACCTGGTTTAAATTATTAAAGCAAGCTCTCACCATGATGTATATAATAAGCAGACTTATAAGTAGGTTGACCCCCACAAAATCCCTTAGCATTTAGAACCTAAAAAAATGGCAGGTTCATGTGAGTCAAGCTGAAAGGCTTGGTTTTCAAAGTTAAGGGGTTGGGGGGCTTCCCTGGTGGTGCAGTGGTTGAGAATCCACTTGCCAATGCAGGGGACATGGGCTCGAGCCCTGGTCCAGGAAGATCCCACATGCCGTGGAGCAACTAAGCCCATGTGCCACAGCTACTGAGCCTATGCCCTAGAGCCTGTGAGCCACAACTACTGAGCCCATGTGCTGCAACTACCGAAGCCCACACACCTAGAGCCCGTGCTCTGCAACAAGAGAAGCTACTGCAGTGAGAAGCCCACGCACCACAACGAAGAGTGGCCCCCCAATCGCCACAACTAGAGAAAGCCCACGTGCAGCAACAAAGACCCAACGCAGCCAAAAATAATAAATACATATATTTTTTAAATTTTTTAAAAATTAAAAAAGTTAAGGGGGGCAAAAATTATCCGGCAGCGCACAACATGCCAAGATGAGATTATCTTCATGTTAGGATAGAATCAGAAATCCTCATGTCTAGGCAGTAGATCTGATGTCAAAGCCTCAGTTCCCACAGCTCCATACTTAATATGAGTGAGTGAGGTGCGCTGGGCAGACTGCAGCGGCCCCAAGGCGCGCCTGGCATCCTTCCCTCAGGACTCACTGCTGGACTCGTGCCCACTTTCCCTGAGCAACCTCTGCCGATCGTTAGATCAGAAACTCTGGCCCAGGTGGCCAAATCTACTATTTTTTCAAAAGAAGTCAGAAATCTGGATTTTTATGTGAAATTGTCTGACTTTTAATTCCTGCCTGAGGGCTAATTCCAGTTTATGACTCTTGATACGAATGACATGATAAAATAGAATAGCAAAGTCATGTTGTACTGACTATAGACCAGTGTTCTCAAAGGGCGAGTGGAGTGAATGCACTCAGGAGATACTTTTAAATTTGTATTGTGAAAAAAAAAATGGTTCTGAAGAACCTAGGGGCAGGACAGGAATAAAGACTCAGACATAGAGAATGGACTTGACACGGGGAGGAGGAAGGGTAAGCTGGGACAAAGTGAGAGAGTGGCATGGACGTATATACACTACCAAATGTAAAATAGCTAGCTAGTGGGAAGCAGCCGCATAGCACAGGGAGATCAGCTTGGTGCTTTGTGACCACCTAGAGGAGTGGGATAGGGAGGGTGGGAGGGAGACACAAGAGGGAGGAGATATGGGGATATATGTATATGTATAGCTGATTCACTTTGTTATAAAGCAGAAACTAACACACCATTGTAAAGCAATTATACTCCAATAAAGATGTTTTAAAAAAACTTTGTGTATATATATATATGGCATACATAATAATTAGAACAATGACATCTATATATTAAATGGTAAAGAGTAATTTATAAAGAATAAATATAATTTGGAGAGAGAATGGGAACACACAGGAAGACATTTTAAACATTTTACAGATAAAAGTGTAGAATCAAGAAAGTTCAGAGAACTTCTGATGAAGAAGTCCTGGGGCCACAGTTCTCAAACTTGGATGTACCTAAAAAACTTATTTCAGATGCATATTCCTAGGCCTCACACCATGGTATTCTCATGCACTAATCTAGGATGGGAGTGAGAAATCTG